TTAAATTTTCTCGTTCTAACAAACGTTTAAAGTTTTTCACAAAGGTTATATCTTGAATTGTTATTTATAGCAGATATCCAATTTTGATGAAACATAGTAATAGCACAATCCTTCAACATACTTATTTAACTTTTTTTTTTATCTCGAACTGTTTGTGACGGCCAAACAATACCAAAACGACGAGGAAATAGTAGATATGTAAGATTTGAAGCCCAATTTTTATACCTTACATTATCTAAATAACGTGACATGTACGCTTTTTGGGGAAGCGGTATTCATGCATTGATACTATTTAACACCAGTATCCAACAATGCGAACGAGTGAGTTGACATGCATTTGATATCGGTCCCATTCACCATAAACTATAGCATTAGGTGGTTGTGGTCCTATTTGTAAGAGGTTTTTACAAGCCAGGAAGTGTATTTTCTCTATACTCTCAAATCTAGTGCTCCCCCAAATTAAAGATGAGTACAAAATAATCGGACTATTCTGACGATCAGACATATTAAAGAACACTTTGGAGGCAGTAATAGATATTTTTCTAGTTGTAGTAGGTAACTCAAATAAGCCTTTTGGCACGTCAGCACATTTACTTAAACTAAACTTACAGTGAAGACTAACCCCAATAATCTATAAGGATTAGCAACCTCATAAAACTTGTACCCTATAGTACCACACTTCTTTAGCTGATACATTTCCTCCTCTTCTAAACACAACATTAGATTTGTGCAAGTTAACAGTCATTCCCCACTTATCTGGAGTATCTGGAAATGAATCTAGAATATATATCTGACGTTGTAAACTGCATATAGTATCAGAAACCATAATTACATCATCAGCAAATAACAACATGAACACTTCTACTATATCTTGAAAGAGTTGAATCCCATGAATTCCATGTACCATAACATCTACAGCTAATTCATTTATAACAAGAGAATAACATAGGGCTCAGCATACATCCTTGTCTCAAACCAAATTGACAAACGTAATCTGTATTACATCTAACACATGCCTTAAATCATCGGTATATACGATGTAATGCCCTCAGCATTACCATTTAAGCCATAGGAAAATGATAATTTCCATAGCTTTGCTCCACTGACATGACCAAAAGCCTTTTTAAAATCAATTAAAACTACCTACAATTTCATCTTTTTTCAAAGACATTTTTCAATAACTGCACACAAGGTAAAAATATGATCCATAGTCGAATAACCTCTGATTTTCAGAAACTGAACTCATAACACCTGCCCATTTTTGTGATTTAGTACACATGTAAAATACCGTCCTGGCGAACCTAGTAAAGACATTCCTCTGTAATTATCGGGATTCTTTATGTCGCCCTTTTTATGCAACAGGATAATAATTGCCTGAGATTATGTAGGATGCATGTATTGATAATAAAAGCAGAAACAAATATTTATCGTTACATTAACATCACTCTATGCGATACGATCTGCAGGCACGACAAAAGTCCCCAAACATGTTGCCTTGCTTAGTGGATATCCTGCCCTAGCCTATGATGGAGGTTATATTGTATGTATTTTGCTATGACTGACGTTACAACTCTTTAATTTAACATTGACAAACAAATTGCGAAAACATCTGTCGACACGGGCGAGTAATCACTATATATTAATCTTAACCAGTTATATCCGTGAGTATTCTACTTTGATTTGATTCTCTTAAGGCTAGGGAGGAGTTATGTGAAGCATATTTGTCAGAATATTTCATGGTTATACTTACTCAACGCAGTTCAACTGGCATGCGTTGTCGTAGTAGGTGCCGGCGGAGTCACAGACGGGGTCAAGGATGAGGGTACAAATGCAGTTACAGTTGACAGTGCTGGCTGTGAGGAAATATGAAGGGTAGAATAATATTGCTATCCTGATACAGGTCCCTTAGTAAACACTAGTTTTTTTCAATGAATATTTTCCACACTTAAAGCCATGGCTGACACTTTAAATGGACATTTAGTCAAGAGGAATTTTGATTACAAGGGCGCGTGTGGCCCATTTGGGTAATTCGGCGAATTAGCTGTGCAGAGTTGCGTCCCTTGGGCACACCAGGAACCTATGGCCGGGTTCAGATCCCGGTTCGCCCCGAATATGTTTCTAGGTTTGTCAGCACCATACCCGTGCTCGTGTCTGAGACTTGCATCACTTCGGGATTTCCTCCCTAATCAAGCTGACACACTGTGATATAACTGGAATACTGTTAAAAGTAGCGTTAACTCCAACCCAGTTACTCCTTCACTCATTACTGAATGTAAAACGATGGCTATGTAGCTTCAATAGGACGCGGTCGAGTCCTTCTGAAACTAACAAGCACGGGTGGGATGCCGACAAACCAAGGATCGATATCAGAACAAATGTGGGAATCAAAACAAGTTTGAGAAGATTCTGACTCTACTAACATATCGACTGACAATTTGGCCAAATGTGACCCACTTGAAAAACGGATTGTGGATATACATTGGAATAGAAGTTAAAAAACAGAACTTAAACTCACCACACAGCACCACAGCAAGAACAGCAAGAATAACGGCAGCCTTCATCTTGATGCTTTAGTTGGAACTTCTCTTCCGAACAGGATCAAAGTATGAATGAATCGAATGAATCTCCGTATTTATATACTACACAAGCCCCTGTAAAATAATTCAAGTGATAAATGTCTCCTTACCCGATTTGTAAGTTATGATTTTAAGCTCTTTTAAAACTTTATGTGCAATGCACCAGGCTGTGTGAGTAGTTGATGTGCCATTACCCGGGTATACGGGACTTTACGAGCTGAATGGTCTTACACAAAGCGAGACCGAAGGTTGAAGCGTGTATTAAAATGTTCAGTTAAACTGAGGAACAAACGAATCTATACCTCTCAGTTGTTTTTACCATATGTTTGATTTTTAATTGAAAATATCGCAAGTTAGCGATATTATATCCCCAAAATGAACTGTACTTGCGCTCAGTCAACACTCAAGGAATACTTCTACATTGTTTTATTTTTAAAATATCATTTTTTAAAAACTTTTAAATATTAAATTACTTTTTTCGCATAATATGCAACTGCCGATTGGACACTTAGACATCTTATCTTTGAAACAAAATGCACTGACTTTTATAAGCACAAGTTTACAACATTTCAAGGACTGGTAGATAGTTAAATATAAATAGACTTAATCAAATTTAACAACAGTTCTTTCAACTTTCAATTACATAAAAAAGAAACTCGGTGTACCTTGTTTATATTCATTTTCACGAACTGGGCATGTTTCATGATATAAATCAGTTTTTAACATTTTCCCTCAAATTTTACGTCCTGTTCACAAGTAAAGAGACTCTACGTGGGTAGCCAATATGGAGTGGGCCCTCTAAAGAACATTAAGCAAGCTTTCAAGAATTTAGTTCTTCACAGCACGCCACAGTCGTAAACCAAAAGCGTCAAATATCAAGCTCTATGGTGTCCATGAACTTTATGATATGCTTATAGTCGATCTCTACCGTGTTTTCTGCCTTCAATCTATATTGCTACACATACATATGTGACTAACGTAGTGTACATGGTAACCTTTTATTGTACCTATAATCATTTCAAATGCCTACCAACAGTGACTAAAGAAGTACTTTTCTGTAAATATTGACATCCGTATGATCAAATCAAATCAGCTGCTCCTGTGAGAGGTGGTTCTTGTAATGTAAAACTTCTTATTGACCAATCACAATCCCGTACTTTTAAATTTCCAATACAATCTGCGCATTCGATTCCAAATTCAAGTGAGCGCAGTTAAATCTACAGGAAACTAAGTTCTAGGTGGAAAACACATTGCGTTTATATGCTAAATGAACCACCTGTGTTGTATATATAAATTACAACTGACAGATGCGATAGTACAGGCACCAGTGTACACGAATAGGAATGGTGCATGCCTATCTCTCTGTGTTCTAGGTTTAAAGTTGTTAGTTCTATACTCTGTCTTGCTGCCCTGGTGCAGTGAGCTCACCATTATGCTTGTTTTGACTTACGTGAGTTTGGTGAAGCCACTTTTTTGTTGTGATTATGTGATTATAATATAATCTTAGTGATTATAAACCATCTTAATGTCCCCTTGAATTGGTCTTGATATGCTGTTTGGAAAATAGTCATGGCGTTGAAGATACCTTGGAGTCGTAATGACTATATTGTGAAGATGTTAGAACATTAATGACATTTTGACTTTGGTGGCGTCATTCTTCGGTGAGACTACAAAAATTATAATAATTAATTATTAACTTCAATCAATATCTTTCAGAATAGTTTGGATGTTCTTTCCATGTGAAGCAAGAGGTGGATGAAGCCATTTTTAGTGTTGTGATTATGCCATCGGGGCAATGACACATTAAATCATTATCCAGTTCGGTCCATTGTGTTTCTGAACAATTTCGATTTTTTTTTCTCCACATTCTGCTAACAAGACGTGTTTAATCGTAACAGACGTCACAGTATTCCAGCATGACGTCAGCACATTGCAGAGTGACGTGATGTCAGCCTCACAACTGTGAAAGAGTAAACAAGAAGAGAGTGCTGCAGAAAATTACTGATAACTTTTGTATTTTACAATGTGGATAAACATTATGTGTTTTCAGATTTTCGGATGTTATTGAATAGTCGATGCCCTGAAATGTTAACATTTGAAAAATTTGAAACCGTGCATCGAACACTCAATAACACCTGCAAATCTGAAAACAAATCTCCAAATTGACCTAATGTGGATGCCATGGCAGAACATTTCGTTCGAATAATAAATATATTTTTAACGTTCACATGAGATTATTTTTATGTGGATATGAAGTTGGTACAACGTGGCACCAAAAAAATCAACTACTTCTAGCAGCCTCGTGTTTGAAGATAAACAAAATTTAAGTTCGTGTTTTATGGTTAATTGACTTGTAAAACGACTGAGGAGCTATATAATACTTGGACTAGTATTTTATAGGGTCTGTGTAGTGTATAAATACAGTAATTTGAATCCATTCGATACTTTGATTCTTTTCGGAAGAGAAGCTCCAACAATAGTATCAAGATGAAGGCTGCTGTTATTCTTGCTGTTCTTGCTGTGGTGCTGTGCGGTGAGTTTAGGTTATGTTTTATAAGTTCTATTCGTTATTTTCCAAAGTACATCCACAATTCGTTGTGCATATTGCAAGGGGTCACTGTTGGCCCAATTATCTGAGATGGAGCAAGTCGATGTGCTAACAGGGCCAGAATCCTCTTAAAGTTGTTTTGAATCCCAGATTCGTTCTGATTTCGATCCTTGGTTTGTCAGTATCCCACAGGTGCTTGTTGGCTTCAGAAGGAATCGACCGCGTCGTAATGAAGCTGCATTGCTATCGTGTTACATTTAATATAAAAAAGTCGTTTGGACAAAATGTAAAGTGTTGATGAAGGTATACTGTGTGGAAAGTATTCATTGCAAAAACCAACAGCTTCCTCATGGACCTGTATCAGGATAGCAATATCATTCTACCCTTCATCACTCTTCACAGCCAGCACTGTCAACTGTGACTGCCTTTGTCCCCGCATCCTTGACCCCGTCTGTGACACCGCCGGCAACTACTACGACAACGCGTGCCAGTTGAACTGCGTTGAGTAAGTATTTCATGGATATTTCATCTCATAACTCTAGCGCTAAGAGTGTCAAGGAAAGTATTGTTCATCCCAGATATAACAGGCTAGAATATAATGATTAGTCGACTGTAACGAAACCACAGTTAATCCCAATGATGATATAATAGGATGGTACTCTTTGCGATTTGCTAAGCCAATGTGAAAGTGTAAAGTGATAACATTAGTCGTTGATAACACCGCCGGCAACTACTACGACAACTCGTGCCAGTTGAACTGCGTTGAGTAAGTATATCCATAAAATATGCTTATAGAGATTCGTACAGCAACGTATGTCAGTTGAACTGTGTTGAGTAAGTATATCTATGATATATTATTTCAGGAACCGTCTCATGTACCCACCAAAGCACTAAGAGTATAAAATCAAAGTCAAGTTAATCCCAAATATAACAGGCTAGAATATAGTGAGTAGTCGACTGTAACGAAGCAGCAATTAATCCCAGTGATGATTAATACGACGGTTCTTTTTGCGATTCGGTTGTCTATGTGAAAATGTAAAAGTGATAACAGTGTCCCTTTTTTGTATATGGTCATTGTATGTATATACAATTTAACGCCCATGATACTGACAGTCACTGAAATCACGCCCCTCCCCCGCTTCAAGAAATAATGAATCTGACCAATATGTCGCCGACATATATGTTTAATTTGACAGCAAAAATATGTATGCAGTAGAAAAGGGCATCAATTCAATGAATACGTTTAAACATGTTTGTGTTATTTTTATCGGGTCTAGAGATCTAATCGCATAGATTGATTTTCATGAAACGAAAAACACCCTTTTCTGCCCTTATCAAGATACATGCATCCTATATAATCTAACTAAATTGAATTGAAGTGAATGCAACAGCAACAACAACATAATTCCTCATTCGTGACTCACGATGAACCATTACGTTGCAGGGGTGCAGCCCAGGCCGCAGAGGGCGCCTACACCATCAGTGGCAGCTCTTGTGTTGCTGCCAGGAAGTAGATGACTTTCACCTTTGACCAGATGGAGCGCCCGTGACAACGGAAGCACGTATTGGTTGGGCAATAAAATGTAGAAGCAATCCAACTGCTCATGTCTCTTTTCCATGTACATTTATTAATATCGTTGACTGTCGACAAGGTTAAACACAAATCAAGTTTATCTTGCACTGTATTCCGATTCGATACGACACGACAGAATGTATTACAGACTTAGGTCAATACATTTGTCTCTGTAGTGTAGGCTGAATTCATCTCACATCTGTTTGCGATTCACATCACATCACGTCACGTCAGGTCACTTTCATCACACTGCATCACATCTGAAAAAACCCATTCATTTCCCCTTCAAGAAATAATTAAACTGACAATAAGTCCGTACATATATCTTCAGGAAAAGCAAGGATTAAGGTAACATGTTCTTTTCGTTGTGTCTCCAGATCTAATCGCACAGACATGAGCCTGGTCATGTTTAATTTTTTTACATCTTTTCTGCTGACGACTGTCGACAAAGATATAGCTGTATGCACATGTGTATTGTCAAGTGTCTCACCATCCGGCACGATAGCAAGTATTCTTTTCTGAGTACTGGTCACAGAGTGAGGTGAACACTTTTGTCTGTTGGGATATATAGCTCACGTGTGTTTGTGATTATGTAAACAATTTGAAAGTGGGAGAAAACTATATCTTACGGAAGCCTTTAGGGCCATTTATTTATTCATTTTTTCAACGTCTGTATCTTGAAATTTCAAGATTACTTTGTATATATCGTGACATTTCAACTTAGTATCTTGAAAATATCATCAAAGCATCTTGAAATTTGAACTAAGTATAAATGTCAACTTATTTTCTTGAAAAAAAAACCCACCTGAAACAAAAGCCCTAAACCGCTTCCGTCATATCGTACTGATGATAAAGCCACTGATAAGACAAAAGACTCCCAGCCACACAGGAAACCTCACCATATCCTCGCTTCTGTGTATAAGACGTAAAAATGACAAAATGTTCCTCGGACATATCATCTGTCAAACGGATGAGGGTCAGTCTTTTTTATGACGGATACAGCAAGATGTATGTTTTATGATCTCACGTTGAGAAATCATTGTGTTTTGGAATGTCGTCAAATAAAATCATCTGTGGTTCATATGACGTCACGTTGGAGGTGAGGTGAGGTGAGGTGAGGTGAGGTGGGGTGAGGTAGGACGGCGTGGGTTGAGCTGAGGTCATGTGTGGTTAAACGTCGCGTGTACCTACTTTCATGCACAAGTGTGTGTTTGCTTGTACCAGTTCATGCTTATGTCGGTTTTATGGTGCTAGCACACTGAAATGCTACTGGAAACACGAATACTCTACTCTGACACATAATGCTGACTCCGAACCGGCTCCTTGTTTTATCCATTTAATGACAAGCTCAAGGCAGGGTCACAACAAGTATCATGATGAAGGAGTAATCATATACTCCGAAACGTTGTGTTCCTCATAATAAAGAAGTTGACATCCATATATTCTCTTCCCTAACAAGTATCATACTTAAACAGACATTTTTATCGGTTGATATTTCACTTTCATTTCTTAAGTCGCATGATATAGACGATACATAAAAACTATCTCACAGAGAATACTATGTTTCAACAATATGGCAAATGAACGTATAACAGCAGAGTTGTTGGATTTGATAAGACTGATCATTAACAACTTTTTAAAGCAATCTTCGGAATTATATTTTCTCTAAGATGTTCATACTTATCACATACTAATATAACATGAAATTCATCCCCAATCTCTCCAAATTGGCAGTTTTTACAGGTACTTTCAACTTCTCTTGTATCACATAAAATCTAAAAATTACATTGAAATTTTGTAACGACATAATTTGGACATAAAGCCCAAACAAACGATTTTTCATCTGACATACTTTTTGCTTCTCTGGTTCTATAGCAGACTTGATATCATTGTAATGGCTGAGTAAATGTGAAGAAGATATACTATCATGCCCGTTTTAACTGTACATGTCATGTAACCTTTGTTTAAAAGAGCATAAGAATACATTTATGCCCCCTACAGTTTGGGAAATCCACACAAATTACTAAACACATGAAAATAATAAATATCCGACATTGAACACTCAATTTGTCTTACCATTGTCATCAAGGACTTTCAGTAGTTTATAACATTGATAAGGATATCTTGGCTCAGTAATTTTAACCAATATTTTGTCTTTTTCCGACCATTATAAAACGTTTGAAGTAAGAAGGAAGAAGAATGTCCTTTTTCAATTGCTTCCTGAAGTGTGGCAACCCATTGGTATTTGGTGCAGGTTTCCCGTCACGTATAGCACATGCTGTAGAAAAGGATACATGTATATTTTGCTTGATAAAATATAGACATGTTTAATTGCTTTTGATGCTTTTGATGCAAATTGTGTGCAACTGCCCATGATAGTTTAGATGATAGCGTCAAGCCTAAATGTTTATAGTGAGTGAGTTGATGTTAAAAGTCACATCGGTAATATTTCAGCCATATCGTGACCTAAATGTTTATTATAAGTAACATCTTTATGGGGATATTGCTGTATATCGATTTTTCATTTTTGGGAATGATGCCTCCATTTCTAAAAAAAACCCTTTCATTTGACAAAGTTGCTTCCAATCCGCATTTGTTGCAAAAAGAATATAATACATCCAATTGTTTCTGTGGACCATTAACATAGTATGAAAACATTATAACGTAATCAACAAGTAGAAGTAACAAAAAATCTTTAACATCTTGTGTAATGAACACACCATAATATCATTCATTATCTATTCCTCTGACGAGCTCATTAATGAAGACAATAAACAATGTTGGACTTAATATACATCCAGGGCTTACCCCACTTGATGTTAAGAAGAATTGTGTTTTTACCAGATTGTGTTTTAATACAAGCATTTACGGATGAATACATACTTTTCAGAACTAGAAACTATTTCCCATGGCATCCTTTGGTACAAAGTAAATACAGTACACATAAGTCTACATAAATCGTGACAATCACAGGAATGAGAATTTACAAACTGCGTTCCATAGCAATCACAGGGTTTGACTTCCAGGTTATTAAATGCGGGGTTAGTAGATTTTTAAATTAAGTGAGCCAGACATCTAGTCACAAGGAGTAACTAATGTATTACCTTGTATCACCCTTTTTAATGTGATCCTGAAACGTTTACAGGCTCCATGCTTAGTTGCCACCTTTATATCATCACACAGTTTAGAATCGTATGCCTTCGTCGTTTATTTACTTCTCTTCTTGTACTCAGATTTCGCATTGAGATAAAGGTATAAATTAACATCACATTTCCATTTTCTGAACATGATTTGAGAATAGTACAGTCAAACAAGGGCGGTTGTTGCTAACATGATTTGTAGCTATAGTAACTAATGCTCCTACATATATACCACAGTGAATTAAAATATCTCAGACACTCTGAATTGTTCATTTCCTTTAAATCTTTTCTTACAGCCTCCAATATTTCAGATGTATCCTTAAAGAAAGTAAATTTGACAATCACATGTCTGTTCCCACTCAATGAATTCTGTCTATGTGTACGCTGTGCAGGGTGAGCTATGTAACGAATACATAAAATCCCACACCCTGTTATCTCTTTCACTCCATGGCTACCCATTTCTTTCTGATAGCCCATGGAAAATCAAGTAGCAACGCCGGAACTGAGCCTCCTCGGTTTTTTATATCCACGTCTGATAAGTGTTTTCTCAACCTGACATTTTCACCCTCTAGTCTATTCAGTCTCTAATTTCATTCTTCACGAAACTGATTGAACTTCGTATTGAGGGATGTCATATGTGATTGAATACAGGCAAGAGTTTTAGCGAGGTAACTGAGATTTGTCTCATTGTCCAGAGTTACACATAGGTCTGAAACATTCTGAAAAGATAACATAGTTTGAACCCTTGTACCCTGAGGCATTATTTCAGCCATAAAGTGACTAACCTTGTACCCTGAGCTGCGGGTGTTATATTAGGGCCCTGAGGCAAGTAACAATGATAACTACAAGAAAAGAAGACGAAATGATAACGGCATCCTACATGATAGCTGTATACCGAGGTATATGCATCGTGGCCGTCCGCCCCGAAGGACAAAACAACCGACTCTACCTCTCCAAACTGTGATAGCAATGTTTATATCAGTAAATCCGAATGTGGGTATACTTAACAGCTTAGTTGTCCATGAACTATGTATGAAACCTTTTCCCCAGATCAGAATCACAACACCCACAGTGAACTTAATGACGTAACCATATTTTAACGTTTTTGATATGACGTGGGCAGGGGATGGAACCATCAGCCATTCTCTCTCTCTCCGAACAGACGCCCTATCCTCTACACAACAGAGACGGTTGACTCTGTATTTGATGGAAATATGTACATCAATACAAAGTCAACATTGCATTAACGTGGGCCAACCTTCCGAACAATTTATGCTCTGAGTTCATCGTGTTGGATGAGCGGACTAAATGAGGATGGGATGGAAACAATGGTGGCAGAGAATGGCCAGTGATCAATCAACTCTGTGGTCTATCCTTCCTTTGTCGTATCCTGTCTCGGTTAATTGGTGAATAATCAACCCTTGAAATGTCTACATAATTTGACTTTCACTTACTGGAGGCTTTACCCCAAAATATCATAATGGGCTTTGACATCTCCCTGTGTGGTGGGGACACTTTTGCCTTGTAACTAATGCCATCATTACGACTGTAAAAGGCAATTTAGTCCAATCACACTTTCAAACTTCGGTTGAAGATTAACTTGATTTGTATTTTACGATTACACCAGAAAGCGGTATTAATAAATGTTCATAAAAAACAGACATGACCAGATGGATTGCTTCTATGTTTTATTGCACAACATATATGTGCTTCTATAGTCGGAGACGCTCCATTTGGTCAAAGGTGAAGGTGAAAGTAATCTACTTCCTGGCAGCAACACAAGAGTTGGCACTGAAGGTGTAGGCGCCTTCTGCGGCCTGGACGGCACCCCTGCAATATGAAGGTCCATCGTGAGGCAAGAATGAGAACTTGTATCTGGC